GATATAACTTAAGGTTCTTTTGAAAAATTTTCGTCGCCCTTGTCCACTTCAATCGTTGTCGTCATCGTTAGAGTCGTCATCGTTCCACCGTCACCATTGTTGGAACATCAGTTTCGACTGGTGACCCCACGGTTATACTCGTCTTGGTCAGGCAACCACAACTTCGTCGAGATTGTCGTCAATAAAGTTCATACCTGTTCTCACGTGCCGACCACAGTTTGCTATCGTCGTTTTTTCCTGTCGTGCATGGCGGTAGTGCGTCATCATCTTCGGCGTTGACAACCTTCGTTGGACTCGTCGCAACCTCTTCTATCTGCATTTGGCCTTGCTGCATTGATGGGTTGTCTTTCGGTTTTAGGTTTTTTCTCTCTCTTGCTTATTCATGGCTTCCTCTCCTTCTTACATTTCTTCTGTTACCAGTATTTGATTCATTCATATGTATTAATTATGTCAATGTGCATTTATCTATTGATAAGTTAAATGATACTAATTATGTGATTTCGGTATCAAACGTTAAATTTTGACTTAAGAGTAATGAGTATGTTGATCATATTACTTAGAACGTGACAACTATTAATTTCGTTATGGTTACCCGTTGATTGAAAATTGATGCTTAATTATGCGTTGTTTTGAAGGGTACCATTCACTCTTCTTTAAAACAAATGTTTCGTCCCTACGAAACATGTTTTAATATCTAGGAACACGTCAAATTATTATACAGCAATGATACTCAATGTATTTATGGTGTTTGTCATGATCTTTTCAAAGTTGTTGCTTCATGGCATCAAGACTCTATGACAGATTATATGGGTAAAATTCATGCTTTTTTTCATGAATTTAATGAGTTATTGTCTCCTGTCTCTACTAATGCCCAATAAATAGAGCAACGGTCAAAGTTCTTCATGATATTGACATTACACGACCTTGCAGATAATAATTTCCAGATACATGATCAGATTTTGGGTTCACCTATTGTACTCACTTTAACTTCTATTTGTTCCATTCTTTTACATGTACCTAGCAAACACATCAATGATACACCTATTTTTGTTATGATTCCTCTGTGTTGGCATCTCAACGCGATAAAATCACTCTCCCAAGTCGGGAAAAGGATGTCACAAGTGTGACCATTGTTACAAGCTAGGCCACAAGATTGACAAGTGTTATGCATTACATGGTCATCCTCCTAGATCTGTTGTTGTTGTTCAAACTGATTCTCCCTCACAATCACCTATTAGAGATCTTCCTTCATCCGATATTACCGACAACTCTGTTATTTTTAGTAAAATTTTCAAATGATATAAGGATAAACAACCTTATAGTATCACATTTGTACCACACATAGGTACATCTTTTGTTTGTTTGACTCCATCTTCTTTTCTTGGTCCTTGAGTTCTTGACTCAAGAACCACATATCACATTACTATTAATAAATCTTTGTTTTCTTCTTTATCTTCTTGGATCTTTTACCTTCTGTTAAAATGGCTTATGGATATAGAATATTAGCTCATGGTATTGGGACTGTTAACCTTTTTCCTTTTTATCATTGATAATGTTCTTTATGTTCTTAGGTCTCCTTTTAACTTATTATCCATTAGTCATCTAACTTGTTCTCTAGATTTTGTTATTTCTTTTAACAAAGATTTTGTTTGTTTACAGGACCGAAATTCGAGATAGGTGATTGGCACTAAATGTGAGTCTCATGGTCTTTATCATCTTCGCCCTTCTACACATGTTAGCGCAATTATGGAGATTCATCTCTTCTTCATGCAAAGTTAGGTCATATCTCTCGTGCCAAATTGCAATAGTTTGTTCCTAACTTATCCAAGTTGTTCAATTTGGTTGTTAGTCGTGTCAAATAGAATAACATATTCGTAGTTCCTTTCCTCATAGTGTCTCACAACATGTTTCATCTCCTTTAATATTTTTGGGGTAATATTATTCTTACTGTGTGCTATCTCGTTAGTCATATGCCCTCTTCGGGTTCAGATAATAAAATATCTCATTCTATTTTATTTTCTCGTGAACCTCTTCATTCCTTACCTCTTAAAGTTTTTGGGCTACATGTTTTGTTCATAATTTTAGTTCTGATCTTGATAAGTTATCTCCTCAATCACACAAATGTGTTCTTTTAGGTTTTACTAGATCAAAAATAGGATACAAGTGTTTTTTTTATTCTTTTAACTTTTATTTTGTTTCTGTAGATGTCACATTCAATGGGTCTTCCTTTTATTTTAACTATCATTTTTCTTTTGATATGTCTTCCTCTAATAATATCAATATTTTTATTATGTGTGCTCCTTCAATTATGCCTAGTCCACCACTTGTTTCTCAACAACCACAAAGCGACTCAATTCAAGTGCCAATTCGTTTGTCTCATTCAACTCTGACAATTGAGTTTGTCCTTCTATGCCCTCCTAAAAGGTATACACTTTATCTATAATCTCTTTCCACATTATATTTCTTTAAGTTTTCATAAATTGTCTTCACCTTTTTATATATGTCTTTCATCTATTTCTTTTGTGACCATCCTAAAATCTATCAATGATGCCTTAGCCCATCTTGTTTGGAGTCACAACAAGATAGATGAACTAAGCATTTTTTAGAATAGTGGAACTTGGGAGCTTGTCTTATTACCATTTGAAAAATCTGTTGTTGGTTACAGGTAGGTTTTTTCTATCAAAGTTGGTTGTGATGGAACTACTAATCGCCTTAAAGTCCGTCTTGTGAGCAAAGGTTACACACAATCTGAGTTGGATTATGGTGATATTTTTCTCTAGCAACAAAGATCACATGTCTTAGTTTATTTAGAACCATGAGATTTTTCAACAATAGTCTCTATCAACTGGATGTAAAAAATGTGTTCCTCAACGGAGATTTACAAGAAGAGATTTATATGGAACAACCTCTAGGATTTGTTGCTCAAGAGAATTATCTTAGGTTATTATGTCTCTTTGCAAATCGTTATATGGCCTAAAACAATCTCGTAGGACCTAGGTTGAAAATTTTAGTAAAATTGTTCAACAATTTGGTATGACTCAGTGTGATATAGATCATTCAACATTTTATCGTCACTCAAGTGTTGGATGTGTCTACTTGATAGTATATATTAATGACATCGTTCTTACAAGAAACTTGATAGTATATGTTGATGAGATTGTTCTTACCAACAATGACAATCATGACATCTCTTAGATGAGACAACTTTGCAAACATTTTCAAACCAAGTATTTTGACAAACTTAGATATTTCTTAGTATTGAGGTGGCACAATCCAACGATAGTATTGTTATATCTTAAAGGAAATATGCATTGGATATTTTGAAGAAAACTAGATTGATGAATTCAAAATTTGTTAATATACCCATAGATCCTAATACTAAACTTCTACCAAAACAATAGAATCCTATTTTAGACCTCAAACAATATAGAAGACTAGGTGAAAAATTGAATTATCTTACAATTACTCGTCTTGACATATCTTTTGCAGTTTGTGTAGTAAACTAATTTCTTAATTTCCCCTATAAAGATCATTATAATGCAGTTATTCGTTTATTAAAGTACATTAAATGATTTCCTGAAAAAAAGAAGTTATTATATGGTTCCAATAAACATACAATAGTGATTTGTTATTCGGATGTTGATTGGACGGGATCTCCTTATGATAAAAGTCTACATTTGGATATTATGTCTCCATTGGTGGTAACTTGATCTCTTGAAAAAGCGAGAAACAAAATGTTATGACAAGATTTAATGCAAAAATATAATATAGAACTATGACTTTAGTCACTTGTTTAGCTTGAGCAATTGCTTAAAGAGTTACAATTTAAAAATGTTATTCAAATGATAATTATATGTGACAATCATGTTACTCTTCATATTAGTTTTAATATTGTCTTTTCTAAAAAGATTAAACATATTGAAATTGATTGTCATTTTATTTTAGAGAAGATTGTATCTAGAGACATCAAGACTAAATTCGCTAATTTAAGTGATCAATTAACATATATTTTCACTAAAATTTTACAAGAATCGAGAATTAATTATATTTGTAACAAGTTTGCTATATACAATATGTATATGCCAACAATATTAAATATATTATTTTATTAAATATCTTAAATAAATATTTTATCATAATTTTTTATCTTTAATTAATATATTTTGTCTATTATAAACATAATATAATATTATATATATATATATAACTCAAAAGATTAATCTCATATATTTATTCTATTATAAATATATTTTATATGTATATTTAAGACAAAATAGATTAGTTTTGATTAAAACTCTCGGATAATATTTATATTTGTATAGAAATCTTAATTCGATCTTTTCTATTTAATCTGTCTTCAATTTTGAAAATTGAAAATGGATAAGAAATAAGCTTTTTTTTTTCGTTAAGTGGAGATAAACAAAGTTAATGAGTGTTGATGTGGTACATAGACATGGGTTTAATTGGGTCCCATTTCTTCGAAAACCTTTGGCTCTTTTTCTTTCCTTTCTCGAACGAATTTTGTCTGTACTCGCTTTTTTTTTTGGTTTTGGTTTTGGTTTTTTTTTTTGGGGTTTTTATTCTTTGCAATTATGAACTCTTGTTGTTAGTTGGTGATGGTTGAGAGTCAGGATAATGGAGGTGCTTATAGGTTGCGACCATGGAAGGCTCACACATGGACTTTTGGTTTGGCTGGCAGATATGAGGAGGTAGCATTGCTTATTGAAGGAAATTCGTAGAATTGCTCATATTAGTCTCACAATTGCGTTGAGGTGTAGATTAAACCCTAATTCCATCAACATCTATTGACGACGCTTATGTCCATATTGAGACGACTTAAAACGAAAAAACGGAATTGAGATTCTTTGAGAAATTTCCGAGGTTTTAACCATTAATTTTCTATATAATTTCAAATATATTTTCCATGCCCCTACAACTCATTTGGTCACCCAACATATCCTAGTCCCGACAACATTGCTCTGAAATTCTCAAAATATGACTGTTTGAAAATTTTCCATCTTTCTAAGCTTTAGAATATATGAACAAGTAGGTTCACAAGCACGGCACAAGTATGTAACTTACACTCTGCGTGCTCATACGGAGCATAAAAAGTTGGAAAATAAAAACACTAGATATAATTCACAGTTGAAACTTGAAACTAAAAAAGAAAAATACAAAACGACAGGTTTACGGATTTGAACTGCCGAAGAATGTGCGATGCAACATTAATGTCAAAATTTCCAGCTACCCCCTTTTCCACCTGTGTCATGCCAACTCACATTCAACAGCTTAAACAAGCATTTCAGCTCATCATCTCAAAGGGAACACCTTTTGAAGGAAAAACCATCTCGGGTAAAGCTACAACGAAAGGTGGATGCATTGCTCTTCTCTATTATCATTTGTCACAGATGAAGACTGGTTTTCTCTCCCTGCCATGCACCTTCGATATGGCACAAACCCTTTTCCATCACATGTTTCAGGACCCTCTCTCATCTTTAGTAGGGATATGGCTGATGTTTCACTGGGTGTGATGTGCCCAATAAGTTCCAATCTTCCATCCCCCTTGCATATGTTTAGAGGTATTGGTTTGCATGCTTCAGTTCTTGGAGAAGAGGGTTTGCATGTATCTGTTACAAAAAGTGTAATCCCAAAGAGTTTCAAAGTCTGCCCGGAAGATTCTTCTTTGATGAAAACACTTTCCTTTGTAGGAAGCTTTAATTTCTAGACATTGAGATCAAACAATAATATAAGGTCATATATCATTTTGTCAATACTCTGTGGTGATGATATTGTAATCAATAAAGATTAGGAAGTATACCATAAGAGACTTCTCATCATGAGAAGAATCAGCGTTTATCCCAGCTTCTTCGGATGTTGTATGGATGTCGCTGATGGATGACACGGGGGACATACTTTCATTTGGTGTGTCTGAATCTGAGGAGCTAAGGATGTCTGAACCAGCTCCTGATAATACTGATTTCGGAGATTGGTTTTCTTGATCAAAATCTGATGACTTCAGAGAACCAGACTTCTTAAGTTGTTCTGGGATTGAAGTTTCTTTATTAGGAGTCTCAACTAGTTTACGAGGGTAAGGATGCATTGGCTTTCGTTTTGGTCTTGGAGGAGGAATTTCAATTGATTCCGCTCTATTTGTAACATTCCCAGTAGGGTCGCGAAGAACCTGCCATCAAAAGTAAAGACAAAGTAATTAGAGGGAATTCAAAGATAACACATGAACCCTTAAATCCCAAAGAAGGTAGCGTTTTGAATATCCTAGAGTCATCAAAATCTTAACTTGCCTGATGTATGGTTTATGGTAAGTAGAAAACATGACTCAGAATGATTATTAGAATAGAGCAGTAAACCTTGGAAAAAAACTTCTGAGCATGACTTCGAATCTGCACAGCAGTCTTTGTGCCAACATGTTCTGTTGTCAAAATAAAGTATCTCAAAACTCAGACCAAACACAATCACACTTCTTCATTACTCATACATCACGCACAAATTCTTGCCCAAGATATTCAGGCTTTTAATTAATAATACCTTCAATACGCCGCCAAGCCCGACCATGCAGCTTTAAAGCTTCAAGGAACTTCTTATGTTCTTCATCTGTCCACCTCTCTCTCTGTTTTGTGATAGTATATGGTTTCCTTACCTGTTGAAGAAGAAAGAAAACTGATTAAAACAAAGAAGACCTTAACAGAAGGAAAAGAGAAGAATTATAACATGCAAAGTGTTAATAATTAAAGAATTCAGGTAGAACCTTCAGAGCGTAGTCACTCCCACAGGAAAACTGGTCATTAAGTTGAATATGTGGAGCGGAATGCACTCCAGAACTCAAAGATACACCACTTCCTACTGAAGGATCATCCTGTGATCTGTTAAATCCTTTCTGATCCTACATTCAATTCAAAGAGAAAAGAAATATAAGGAATTATAATCGTCAAAAGAACCCCAAATTTTTCACATATATAGTCGCTAACCAGGCCAAAATTATTTGTCAACTAAGGAATCAGAAATGTTTCAAGCGAATCTTTCACTCCACAAGAAGACAAGTAGTGACAACACCTAAGAAATATTTGAAGGAAAAAGAAAACAATGAAACAACTCTTTGATAAAGACATGAACAAGTGTCATTCACAATAGGTTAAGCAGGTCTCCTTTTAATAACTGTTTCCCCAAGGGAAGCATTCAAATCCTCTTTAGGTGTGTAAATTCAACCGTTCATGAGAAATCTATGCATGTTTGGCATTTGAAATGGGCAAACCAAAACGCAATTAATTTTCTCTCTTTTCCACCCTTTTTAACAAATACTCCTAACATATCCCACCCAAAAAGATTACAATCAACATTGAAATTGACCACAATCTCAGCCACCCCTTACAAATATGAGTTTAGTATCAAAAAATTCATAAGGAAAACATAGCTGACTGAAACTTATGTATTACATACGCGAATCGCCATAGCTTCAGAAACCAAATCACTGATCTAGATCTTCTGCTCCTCTTCGCAGTTGCAAACTTCCACGACTTCACCGTTGGATATTGCTTCCCTCACTCACAATCAGATCACAACCTAGGTGTACTAAAACTTCTCTTTCTGGATACAAATCCCAAATAAGAAAAGTACAACTCAAACAACTCTCCCTTCGAAAGCTAGAAACAGAACCAAACAAATTGTGTACAACAATGGACCCACCTTGATCCAAAAGTCAATTTATCATACAAACACTGCCTTGATTCTTCACTTCACCAACCACTAATTCACATCTCAGAATCACAAAACAAAATAGAACCCTCTGCATATCTACAAATCCTGTGTTCAAGCACTACCAAACGATGATCGCAGAAAACAAATTAACCCCTCCTCAATCAACAACTGCATGGATGGAAATCCATCCACCGCACACCTTTCCCCTAAGAAATTTCCAATCTTTTCATAATAGAAAGGGGCTCATAACTCATAAGCCACACCACTAACTCAGCAGAAGCAAAAAAGAAAAAAGGAATGGAAAATCAACAAAATTACACAAGAACCCAGAAAGGAAAATGGTTAATTGTGTGAGAAAAAGAGTTATTGATGGGTTTGAATTAACAGAGAAAGAAAGATAAGAGGTTGCAGATAGATAGATAGATATATGGAGAAGTTGGAAAGGAGTGAAAGCTCAGACTCCGAAAGTGCTTCTTGTGATTGTTGTTGTGATTGACAAAAAGAAAAGGAGCAACAAGGGAGTGACACGTAAGATTTGAACTTCTATTTTCTCGTAGGAAATTTTGAAACTTTATTTTTTCCCTTATTCCTCCGACACCGAAATCTCGAGAATTCGAAGGAATCTTGTGGCTCTCGTCGAAAGTTTTCGAGGACACGTGGCGTACGGCCATGGACCCCGTTTTCGCTCTCTAGAAAAAATTGGTGTTTTAAATTCGGTGGGCGAAGAAAAAGTGCTATGGATAATTTCGGACACGTCACACTCGCGGGTGAAAGTGAAGCACCACGCTACTCGCGGGTTAGGCAGTGCCACGCGTCCACTCACTCAGTGCACAATTAAAGCGTGGCCCATGTTTTTTTTCAGAGATCGAAACAGATAAATGCCATTATTTATTAGCTTCTGTTCTAATATGCTCTCTGTCTGCTTTTATTTTAATGGATCTATTAATCTCTGTTTCTCATTTATTTACTTAAAAATAATATATGTGAATTAAAAACTGTAATTAATATTTTTCATATTGGTCTGCGGATTTTTAACTATTTTCTTTATTTATAATTGTAAACAATTTGTAAAGGGTATGTGAAAATAAGGATAAAATCAAAGAAAAAAATTAATTATAAAAATCATTTTTATATCTTAAAAAAAAACATTTTAAATTAACGATCAAAGTTTTATAAAAAGTTGTTTTATTTTTCTTTGTTGACTCTTCTGATGGTCTATCTCATTAAGTTCTGGTTACCTTTTTTAGGAAAAAATGCTTTATTTTTACTGAATATAATTGAAGCTCAAAATAGAAGTTTTCCTTTTCATTTATGCTTTATTAACTTATTATAATTTTGGAAAACTTTATAGTTCGGACGATTTATTTATGACATTAAAAAACTAAAAAAGAACCTTGAAATGTACCAATGTAAATAAACTCTTTACTTTCCATATTTTACTAGTAATAGAGATTAATTGTGAAGTCAACAAAAGTAAGTATTTTTTCTACCATATTTAAAGAATGACGTGGATGCTCTGATACAATAATTTCATTTTTATGATTGTGACAGGGATAATAAATTTACAATGAATGATTAAAATTAAAATGGCGGCATTTATTATTATTATTGTTGCTATTATTTTAAAAGAATTGGATATTTCTGAAGTTAAAATATCTATCTATTTATTAGAGGCTATACAAAATGAAAGAGTGTGAATGCGACTTTTTGCTCTGCGCTTTTTGCCACGTCATGCCACTAGCCGACTCACGCACCAGATGCTGCCACGTGTACGAATAGGAAAAGGATAGCACTCCACTACCTTCTTCACAGCCACAACTTCTTTCTTCCTTTTCTTTTATTCGAAATATTTCTGACCACATATTTTTATTTTGGGGTTTTAATTTTTTTTAATTGGACTTTTATTGAAGTGAAGGTTGCAATCAATATGAATAAGAGGCCCAACATTCTGTTCCAACCTAAATGTTTGGTTCTTTTATCAATTAAACTTTTCTATAATCTTTTTGTTTATCCAATCCTATATTTCAACTATGGTTTATTTTCTTCCATCTTTTAGTTTACTAAGATTGAGATAAGATTAAATCTTTGTACTGTCATACCACAAAAAGACGTGTAAATGATCTCGTTTACTTTAACTAAATTCGGATAAGATGAAGACAAAGGTTATTCGACTACGCATGAGTGGAGATTGAATGGACAATTCCAGTAACAAAGTACTTTTTAAAGAGACACTAAGAATCAAGGTTAAGATAAGTATCATAGTGTAATAGGTTGAGATTGAACCGTGATTAAGACTTCACTAATTTTAAGTTCACCTCAAAAGTTATAAATAAATGTTAAAGTTAAGAGGTATGTGATCGCATTTATTGTGAATTTAAGACTTTGCTTTGACCCCATTCAGATTAATTACTGACTTAAGTATCGAAGTATCTTTGACAGGTACCCCAATCGATTTAGAGAGCTGACGAAGGAAGATTTGGACTTAGAACAAAGATAAGGACTCATACGTCTAAAAAGTAAAAACATGAAAGTATATTTTGTGTAATTGTTGAACTCTACATCTGAAACACTAACTAAAACAATTTGTATAAACTCTATTATTGTCTTGTATATACACTAAGAATATTTTCTAATAATTATGATTATTGATGTGTTTTTTTTTAACGAAATCATTATTTATCTACTTCAATTTTTAGCTCTTAAATAGTTGCAAAGTTTCCTTTTTGATTCCATGAGTTTAGTCATATATAAGGTTAATGTTATGGTCTTAATCCCTCCAACTGATAACTAAAGAAATTGTAGATTCTTCTATGTTTCAATTTGGACCAATAATTGCCAAACATCCCAAGTCGTGTCAGAAGTTAAGGACTAATCAACCAAACATTGGACCTAAATTCTTGTTAAATGTTAATCAAACGTCTCAATCAGTGATAATAAATCATTAATATGTTCTACCTAATGACATTGGCAATTATAACTTATATGTCTGACTAATTTAATGAGGTCCTACTATATATCATAATAGGAGAAAAGTGAGATATAACAATAAATTTGGGCATATCAAACCTTTTCGACCAAACTAAAACTGAGTTTAGTATTGACACAAACATTAAACATTGAGACTTATTTCTACACATGCTTAAGATAGATGGGCCTGTCAAATTCCAATAGATTGAATTTGGCGAAGTTTTGATTCTAGATGATGATGCTTTTTAGAATAACTGGTAAAGATAAGATGCAAATGAAAATGGTTGATGGTATTGAAACCAAATTCGGGTATATGCCCAAATTCTTGAAGAACTCAATTTCTTTAAACACTTTAGTGCCCATGCTACTTGGAGTTAGGATAACTAGATATGAAGGAAACAGTTCCCCATGACAATTTAGTAGAAATAATTCAAATTCAACAGTGAGAAGAATTTGCTATACTAAGAAAAAAAGACTTGTATATTCACATCAGTTAGTGAAAATTACCCATGTAGCACTTTCAATCATTCAATTCAAATTCGGTAAACTTTCCTATTCGATTCTAAGATATTTTCAATAATTCTCAATAATTAAATTATGTTTATCATACAACAACAAAGTTAGAGATAAGCACTGCCTGGCCTAGAAGAAAAGGAATGAACAAAACACCATCATGTATGTTTCCACGGATAAAATTTCTTCATTTACACAAAATGAGATTTAATCATAAATAAATAAACCAAAAATCTAATGCCAATGTCTATCATTCAAAGAAACTGAAAATGTAACACGTGCATACAACAGAAATTATGAACTACGTCTACTTGTTACAATTAATTACAAAATTTGAGCACCCAGGTTACTCATTATCAGTTGAAACAATTCATAGAATGATCACAGTGGTTTGAGCAGTTCATAAAAAATAACTCAGCAATTTGCCAAGCACTTTGTGTCTGCGGATCACTAATAATATTCTCAACTTATAGACTGAAAATGAGTGTGGGTTTGACAGGACAATGTTGTTAATTCTAACTTTGCCGCAAAAATATTCCAAGTAATCAATGACGTGGAAGATAATGAATTGTTCCACCAAAAGTTTCCTCATTTTGGAAAAGATCAGCTGCATATCTTCAGAGGCTGAATGCCGCAGCTACCATTCAGCTGAAACTTCACTCTGGTTCTAGCCAATTGCATCCTAACGTCATAGACAGCTATCTGCTGGAACCGTCTTCAGTAATTTGGCAAGTTCATAAGACTTAAAATCTTTCCCATAGCATAAGCTTAGATCCAGAGCTGTTTTTCCGTCCTGAAAAAAACAAACAATCAAGTTCTAAGTAAGGGAAACAAATAAACCCTTGATGACTAGTTAGAAAGGAAGTTTCCCGCTTCATCGATTTCTATCTCTAACAATAAGGTTTTGAAATCAAACGGAGCGGTAGACACTTGACAACATTAGCTTCACTGGACTATAACAGTGTAATCCAAAAAGACTAGAAATATAAGAAAGAATAAAGGGAATGATAACAAAACATGTTCAATCTGATCCATTTAATTCATTATAACTGCCTTATTCTGTTGTGGAATGTATGACAAAAAATTACCTTATTTTTCCTTGTCTTATCAGCCCCATTGACTAATAAAATTTTTGCTATATCTCTATTTCTGCTCTGAATGGCAACGTGCAAGGGGGTCCAACCATCCTGACAGATTCTTAAAGTCGTAAATATAAACCATATACATAAAATAGAAAAACATAAAAAGAAAAGCTAATAAAAGCAAGCTTGTGTTAAAGAAATGCTCACGTTATCTTCAACATTGACATCAGCCTTGTACTTGATCAATAATTTCACAGTCATCTTGGCGCCAACTTGAACTGCATAATGAAGTGGAGTGGCTCCATCCTACCATAGGAATAGATGGTCAAAAACACTTCAGACTGCAGTTAACAGTTTATGACAGTTATGCAAAAGAATGCTTCCTCACCTTATCCTTAACATGCGGATTTGCTCGTCTCCGTAGAAGATGGCTAATCAAAGTATCTTTTTTACCTATAATTGCCTTATGAAGTGCAGTAAGGCCTTCCTGTTTGATCAAATAATGTTATTCAAGCCCAGGCTAACACTATGCATAAGTTGGAAAAATATAAACAACAAACACCTTATCAGGCAAATCAATGTCCATGCCGTTATCAAGAAGCTTATCCACGCAACTCATCTGCATTGATAGCACAAGAGTGTGCAGTGGGCTCCATTTTTCCTGAAAACATGAATACAAGGGCTTAAGTATAAATAAGAAAGTGAACACTGCGAGAGACAGATGCAGAGTCACAGACTTACAGTTGATATTTTTTCCAAGTTAGGAGTAACATTCTGTTGCAATATTGCTCTTTCTTCTGGTTCCAAAAGCTGTTCAACCTCTGCAATAATGAAAATATCTTCTTATAGTATCTGATTATAGTCCAGGATCAAAAAAGATATTCTACAATCTACTTGTGAAACTTCTTTAGCACATGTCAGGAAGTTGTTCAATCTTAAAATCATATTGAAAGTAAGAACTA